TTTTTAATATTTAATAATTTATTAAAATTAGACACCTTTTTAACGAAAAATTCTTTAAGCATCAAAAATTAATTTAAAATATAGTTTAAACATTTATTTTTATATTAATCCAAACAATTTTAAAACAGTGAATTGGAATATAATATAAATGCCTACGTATATGAATTGGAAAGGAGGAAGCGAGGTTTATGTTATGTTATGAGAGTATAAAAATGGGGAGAAGACTCTAACGTCAACAACAGTTGCGCAATCTGGTACGTCGAAGGGTGGTGAGGGTGAGTTGGCCTACGTCAGCGCTTGGAAAATGATTCCAATCAAATGGTCCCCAACTATATATATATAATCTCCACAAGTACTAATTTTATCCATAAAATGAATTAGATTAATTTTAGATAATAAAATCAATTTCATTGAAAAAATTAAGATTAATTATAATGCTATTAATTTATAAAATTTAATTCACAGAGGAAAATTTAAGGTGTAATCTACTTTTTAATTTTAAAAAATAGCATACATTGTCCAAGTCTTGGAGTCAAAGTAAACAAAAAGCTTACCGTAGAAATATCTAAGCATATCATTGGAAGAACAACATTGACTTTGTAACTACTTTAACAGCTTGCCAGCCTGGGACAATCGGCTTGCTCAAGCAATTCTATTGGTTTTCTGCTTTCTTTACCCCATCAAGACATTTGTCAAGAGCTACCACCCCAAGTCTCTCTCGCAGAAAAGCAAACACTGCAGGGGGAATAGGTTTAGTCAGAAGATGGGCCACTTGTTCTACAGAAGGAAGAAAGTTAACAACAAGTTTGCCATCAAGGACTCTTTCTCGAACAAAGTGTAAATCAATCTCAACATGTTTAATTCTTGCACGATGAGTTGGATTAGCAGCCATAGATACTGTCGAAGTGTTATCACACCATACAACAGGTTTTCCTTGAATAGTTACACCAATTTCAACTAAGAGTTGTACTGCGAATAAAGAGAGATGATCTACCTTTGATGCAGTAAAGCCAAGTTTTAAGGTAAGAAAAACCTTCATCTTGTCAAACTAGGCCCTCGGAGCTTGTCAAAGTCCAAAAGAGCCTTCTTAAGACGACAATATAACTCTTCACCATTAGGACCCTTTCTGCTTAAAACCAGGTGGTTGTTGAACCTAAAAGAAGGAATAGACAATTAATTTGAAAAATAAATTAAACAGAATAGAGTACATATCCGAACAGAAGTTTCGGTTTTCAATAATTCAACAAAACAAATATTTTCTACAATTCTTATTGAAAAAGTTCAATTGATAGTTTTAATTTTAAATTAGTAAAATGAATAAAATATAAGTAAAACAAAATGATGGTTAATTTTCAAAAAAATAATTGAAAACAATAAATTATCAAACATATCTTAAAATAAAAAGAATAAAAAATAAATTTGATCTAAATTAAATAATATGACATTATTTTAACATTTTTTACACTTACATAGTTTGTTAACGATTTTATCACTATGACAAAATAAAGGTAAATTACCGTTTAGTACTAAACTATCAGTTTTTGTATGTTTTAGTGTTTAAACTTTTAATTTTTTCAAAATCATACCTAAAGTTTAGTTTTTGTTTCATTTTAGTATCATACCGTTAAAAACTTTTGTTTTTGTTTTATTTTAGTATCTCGATCAAAATTTAGCATTAAGTTTTTAAAAAAAATTAAAGTTTAAGTACTAAAACGGATAAAAACTTATAGTTTAGGTACTAAACATGTTAAGTTTTTAATGTCGGGGTACTAAAATGAAATGAAAACTAAACATTAAAAATTATTTTTAAAAAATTAAAAGTTTAAATACTGAAATAGACCAAAACTGATAGTTTATGCACTAAATTCGTAGTTTACCCTAAAATAAAATGTGATAAACTAGAAAATCACACAAACAAGTTAATAAAATAACTAAAAAATTAGGAGTGTATTTGGTTCAATTCAATTTTTCACTAAAATATGAATCAAATTGTATTTTGTAGGTTTTTAAAAATTGAAATCGAAATCAAAATTGAATGGCATAAAAATTGCAGTTTTCGGTCATTTTGTTTCGGTTTTACGATTTTTTATTGTTACTATTTTTCAAACTCAACCTAAAAAACATATTTGAAGCTTAAATCGAGAGCAAATATATAAATTTAAATTTATAAAAAATTATTAATTTAAGATTTTATTTATTTAAAATTTCATATAATAAATTCAAAATGAATTTGTTTGGGATATTTATTTTTCTTTTATTTTTTTAATTCGATTTGATTCGGTTCAAACGGTTTTCATATGAAAAACTGAAACTGAATTGAATGCATATTTATTTTTAAACTGAACTAAAATCAAACCACAAATTGAAAAACTCTAATCGAACCACATAGTTCGATTCAGATTATTTTTTCATTTTTTTTCAATTTCGTTACTCAGCCCTATAAAACATGGTTTAAAATTAAAGATGGCAATGGATCGGGTTAAGGTCGGGTTTTTGGTCAACCAGACCTGACCCAAAAATTTTATATCCTTCATCCGACCCGAAAATATGCACCCTCTATCTGAACCCAACTCAACCTAATTATTTAGAATATAAATCCGACCCAACCCCATATAATATAAAGACCTATTTAAAAATAATAATAATAATTTTAAGGAAATTATATTATTATCCTCGGGTCGGGTTAGGTCGAGTCAATTTTTTTCACCTTCCACCCGAACCGATCCGAATCCGATTTTTTTATATAAAAAATCCGACCATAATCGGGTCAAATTTGGGTTAAATTGTCATCTTAATTTAAAATAGACAACAATAGGGTAAATTAAGCGTTTAATATCAGTTTTGGTATGTTTTAGTATCTAAACTTTCATTTTTTTCCAAAACCATACCTAAGTTTTAGTTTTTTTTTGTTTTAGTACCTCGCCATTAAAACTTAATAGGTGATTTTCACGTGACACCTTTTTATGGTAAATTACATCATTCATCACTCAACCATCTCCTATTTTGGTCACTAAAGTTTTATTTTTTAAATTTAATTACTTAACTTTCAAATTACTCCTAATTTAAACACTCTAACTTTAAATTTCTTATTTTTATTTTTAATTATATATGAATAAAATAATAATAAAACGTAATGTCACAAAAATTATTAATAAAATAAATTATAGTGATTAAAATATGAGCAATTTAAAAGTTGAGTAGTTAAATTGAAAAATTTTAAACTTTAACACCAAAATAGGAGTGAGATGATAGTAGAGTGATAAATGACGTAATTTACTTATAAAAATATAGTGCGGCTAAATTTTTAACGAAATATTAAAATGAAACAAAAACTAAACATTAGATATGATTTTTAAAAAATTGAAAGTTTGGGCTGTAGCAAACTAAAATTGATAGTTTAGATCATGGTTATCAAAACCGGACCGGACCGGCCGGTTGAACCAGTGGCGTGTCCGGTCCAGTTACCTCACAAAATCGATATGGCAATGAACCGGCTGAAAACCGGTAAAACCGGGGTGAACCGGCAAAACCGGTTTGAACCGTCGATTCATTTTTTTCTTTTAAAAAAATATTAAACCAAACGACGTCGTTTGTTCAACGAGCCGATTCAAATTGAGTATTGCTGAGCTCGACTCGAACCGAAAACTTTAAAAGTAAGCTCAACTCAACTCAAAAACTCACGAGTTAAAAATTATCAAGTTCAACTCGAACTCGAAATATAATATTAAAACTTAAACTCGAAAAGGCTTGAACTCAAAAAAATTAGAAGTTCGATTGAAGCCTAAAATTTGAGCTCAATTGAAGCGAAAGAATAGTTCGCTCTGTGCTCACCAAAAGGCTACATGATTTTGAATGTCAAATTAATTCTATTATTTATAGAAATAAGTTGGGATGCTCTTCTATGTTTCTTAGCCATGTGGGATTGTTTTGTTTCATATTTTTACTCTTTAAACTTTTGGAATGCTCTTCTATTTTTCTTAGCCATGTGAGATTATTTTTTTTATAAAAAAATTAAACCAAATGGCATCATTTATTATGTTTTTTAAGCTCCAATTTTATTTTTTTGATTATAGTTATATAATTATATTTATTATTTAATATGTTTTACCTTAAATATTATGTTGTAGTTGATTTGAATCATTTTGTTTCACTTGATTTTATGGTTTTTAATTTATATATGTTATGACTTGTGATATTTTTATTCTTTTAATATTGTAAACTTAAAAAAAGTGTTAGATATATATTAATATTGCTTTGAATATTATGTAAAATTTTAAAAAATATTATTTTATATAAAATCCGGTTCAATCGCGGTTGAACCAGTGAACCAGTACCTTCACCGGTTCAATGTCCGTCCAATTTTAAAAACATTGGTTTTGATACTAAACTAGTAATTTGTCCAAAATAATATAAAAATGCAAATATTTGTACATATCAAAACATAGACAATATATATTTAATGTGAAAAACACAAAATTGAAAATGGAATACACATTTTCCTTTTTCCTCTCACCTTTTTACCTTTCTTTTAATTCTTTAATTTCTTCCATCCAACGGAAAAAGAAAAGAGAGAGAGAGAGAGAGAATTGGACTCTCAACAAGGGCATGTACAGTGCTTAACCACTTATACTAGATTTTATGGATTCTTAAGATTAAGTTAAAATCATTCTAATTAGCATTATAAATAAATAAAACCATAGTATAAAGGTAGATACAACAGGCCAGTTGAAAAGGCAACGATTTTTATAATTAGTAAATTTTCTCCTCTTTTACGTATGATTTTTTCGAAAGAGTTATTCGCATGAAATCTTAGTGTTTATTTTATTTGACAATTATTATGTATGTTGTTATCTTATAACACGTGTATATTATAGATTTTGACAAACAGCCGAACCATAGAATGGATACTTCGTAAAAATGCTCTCAAAACAATATCAATGCTAGCTTGAACAATTAAAGCTTCAGATGTTGGTCTTCACAAACCACTACATCGATAATAATCCGAATCTTTCTCCTTCAATAAAGTTACAACTTTTCAATCACATCACCGTATTCATCAAGATTTAGCAAGACGTCCAAAACCCATGTCTATAGAACTCCTTATTGACAGGCCGACACACTATTTCATCACTAAACTACAATGCAACATCGAAAAGCATATCTCTGACGGCATATAGATTGGTTGCTTTAGTAGAATTGCTTCCGACTGTGTTTGCCACTGCTGGAGGCTGTGTGATAAATTGTTCTCCTATACCATGTAAGAAAACTCCGGGACCTAATGACGAAGTTGCTTGCACCATGTTGTCCTCCTCAGTACCATCATGTCCTCCCTCTGTCAAGGAGAACCCGAAAAGTACGTAACTACTTTTACATGAGGTAGTTAATTCTTGACTCGTCTTAAGTGCTGGTTGAGTTGCCAAAGTTCGAGAATCACCAAGCTGAGCATCAACACCCGAATGACCAAATGAAAACATGCTTCCAAGATTCCTCCTATGGGAATCGTGTTCACCAGTTGAAGATGGAAGTAATCTTCCCCCGTATGTTTCAGGAGCATGAAAAGAACTTTGTTTGTTAACTCCTAGCTCTTTTTCCAGGCTATTGAAGTTATGAATTGGATTGAAGCTTGTCAATGGACTGCTTGCATGTTGGAACTTTAGCACTGAAGATGGTGAGGACACTTGTGCAGATGGTCTCATTTGACTATGAGTGTTATAGCTCTGCATCAAAGACGACCATCCACCTCTGGTTCCCGAAAACTGACCCGCCTCAGGGACACCATGAGCGTCATTTTCTCGATTGTCATCTGCAGTTGGGTCTCTTTTACATGAAGGGTTTACAAAAATTTCTTGACCTTGCAAGACCTCATGGAATCCAACAGATTCCTCAAAGCCTAAACCTTTACGGGAAATCTCAGGAGTCACCATTGTTTCTCTACCAACATTTCGAATTGCAGCAATACCAGAACCATTAGAAACAGGAATGCACCGTCGTATTTCAGACTGGTGCAGTATTTGACTATTAGCATCATCATGACGAGAGTTATAACCTAAAATTTCTTGACCTTGCAAGACCTTATAGAACCGCAAGGATTCCCCATCTGTTGTCAAGGGCCATGTCAAACAATGTCGCATGACACATGAAAGAGAATTAATTAAGCAGAAGAACCTACCAGGAACAACAAATTCAGGTTTCCCTGACGACAGTCCAACCCTGTTCCTTTTGGAACCAAGAGAGAACAAGTTTTTAGGAGTAGATAATGAACCAGATGGTTCAATTTCCCAGGGAGAAACCCTGTTATGCCTTTTGGTGTCGGTATCATCCCACCTTACCTGCAAAACAAGTGGGAGAAAACTTCCAGCCTAACTCTCACTTAATATTTTGATAAAATCATAAACTGAGACATTCAAAACATAATGTAACAGAGACAACTTGTTAGCAAGACCAAACCAAAGCATTCAAACCAATCATGTGAATGAACTAAAAAAATTATTTTTAAATTCCCAAGTACAAGCACCTTCCAGATATGCAAACCAAAATAATTTGGCACTAAGAGTGATTTCAGAATTTCCCCGTGGAAAAAAACTACACAAAACAATACTATTATTTGTCATGTTCATTATGTTTAAAGCATGGTCTAGGCTGCACCCATCATGAAAAAAGACGTAGAGAGAGAAAAGTTGAAAGGGAAAATAGATTCCGGCGAGGTTTGGAAGGCTTTTGTCGATAATCTCAGCAGGAGAGTTTCTCAACATGAGCTAAGGGATATTTTTTCGTCTCATGGAACTGTGGAGAGAGTTTTCATCCCAAAAGAAACTAGAAATCCAAAATATACATTTTCCACTTTCGCATTTGTTCAGTTTGAGAGGGAGTCTGGTTTGAAGAGGCAATCGATATGTTAAATGTTTACTGATAGATGGGAGAAGGATTACAGTTGGAGTTGCAAAATACAATGATGTTGTCTAAGGAAAGAGGTAAAGAATAGTCCAGTAAAGATGGCTCCAGATTCGTCTACAGCAGGACCTTCTAAGTCAAAAGAGGTAGATTTTTCCAGCAGGAGTGTTAGGGATGGCAGAACGTATAAAGATTCTTTACTGACTAATGATACAAGGAACAATGCATTGGGGTATAGGGAGTTATTCTCTGAAGGGAGTCACAGGAGAAAGCAAGGAAGAATGTTCTGGAAATGCATATTCCTTCTGAGAGTTCGAGTTGGGTCTAAAGATCTTTAACGGGGATTATTAAGCTTTCCTTTGATTTTAAGTCAGTTCAGGAGTCTTTCATTGGTAATGGTTATGAAGTACAGATTGTTGGTTGGGGTTATGTCCGAAATTCCTGTGCTATCATTTTCAAATCTCATGAAGAGATAATGGAGGCATGGACAAAGAAAAAAGATGAAATAGGCTTCTGGTTTGATAGATTGGCCCCTTTACTGAATGAAGATGGAGTTCCAATGGCTTTTTGTCAGGTTGAGTTAACTGGGGTTCCTCTGTTATGCTAGAATGAATCCTTCTTGAACGAGTTGTTGGGAGATGGGGAAATATGGTAGAAATCCATGATTCCACTAAGAACATGGATGATCTCACGTCTGCGAGGATTCTTATGAGAGTTGCAAGCCCTTTCGATGTTCCAGAAATCATTACTCTTGGATCCTATGGTAGATCATATAGAGTCAATATCAAAATTGGATTGGTCTATGAAGATTCAAAACCTTTTTTCAAATTTTCTCCGATGGTCGGAGCAGTTGGGGAACAGTTTGGCGAGTTGATGTCTGAGGAAGGTGTAGGGAGAAGTCAGAATATGAGGAAGGTCAAGATAGGGAGAAGTCAAAATATGAGAAAAGTTCAGTCAAATCAGCAGAGATATTCAGACAGAAGGTTGACTTGTGGATTGATGATGGTGTTTCTTTCGGCACAGCAGAGACTGATGGGGAAATACACTTTCCAAGATTTACTAAACATGGGAAGGGTATTAAAAGAGGACTGTCAGGTGTTCAGAACGTGTGAATATTAAAGAAGGTGATTTTGCAGGTCTAGGTATCAGAAATTCAAATAATCGGCTGATAAGCCAGAGACCCAATCCGATGACAATGAGTTGTCTGAGTTGGAGGTTTCTAAGATAATTCCTTCTAGGCCAGCTTATACAATTAATAAGTTTGGTAAATTGGTTCAGAGTAGGGGAATTGCCGAGGATAGCAGTGTTAAAAAACAATATAAGGGGTCCAACTTTATTTCAGATTCGTTTGGTAGTGAAGATATTGAGGCTATTAAAACTAATTTTATGCTGATAGTTCCTAATTCAGAATTATTGAAGAGCCACTCAAGAGGTAGATTGATGGTTGTACATAAAGCTCGCTATCTACAAAAAGTGAGCCTTTAGAGAGAGGAAAATGGTCAGTTACAGAAGAGTTTATAGATGTAGGGAGAGGAAATATTGGCATGGGGAGAATCAAAAGGGAATTAATGTTACTGAGGATGTTCTAAATCCAAAGAAGGTTAATGATCATTTATGCATGAATGTTCTACAGTTTCCTACAACAACAGAGTCTAATTTACAAGACAGTGAGGAGCCAAATTTAGTAGAAAAAGTTGGGGTTAGAAGTTTTGATGGAGAGCCTGAGGGTTGTGTTGAGGATAGACATTTGTCTAATTCCAATTCTGGCATTTCTAATAGAAGGGCAAAAAGATTATTGGTAAGATAAGCTTTAGAACATGTTAGTATTTCTACAACATCTTCAGGTTTTTCGGAGCTTTTGGATAAAGCAGTAGCTCAATGGTAAGTTTGTCAGATTTGGGGGTTTCCTTTACACAAGGGAAAGAAGCTTTTCTGGAAAAAAAATCAAATTAGAGAAAGGCTTGAATATGGCCAATTGAGTTGCTATATTGGGGAAGTCAAATTCTTCAATTATTATTCATAAAGGATAAATTAGCAATATTCATAAAGGATAAATTAGCAATAATTTCATGGAATGTAAGGGGCTTGGGAAAATGAGAAAAACAGAGAGCAGTTCAGAGATTAGTTTCTCACACATATCCTTCTTTTCTTTGGCTACAAGAAACTAAAGTAGAGAAGATACATAGGTTTTTTCTGAGAAGGAATGGGTTGAATATTTTTCAGGGTGTTATCGAATCTCCAGCTATTGGTTCTTCAAGGGGATTATTATGTTGTTGGGATGACAATGTGTTTGAGATGGAAAATCACAGCATTAACAGAAGATTCATCGTTTGTTGTAGGGAAATTCAGATTGAATCAGTTCAGAAGTGTTCTCATAAATGTTTATGGGCCTTCAGTGGAGGAAGAAAAAGAAAGTTTTTTTGAAGAACTTAGTGTGTTCATTTCTGGACAGAATCTATCAGTTTGTGTTGGAGGGATTTTAATGTATACTTGTGTGAGGATGAGGAGGATTGTAGAGCTTAGAACAGATTCTCAATGAGGATTTTCTCTCAGTTTATTCAGTCTTCAGGTCTAATTAATCTGCTTTGAATGGGGGCAGGTTCACTTGGTGTAATAACCAAGATGATCCAGCATTTGTTAGATTAGACAGGTTCTTGGTGAATGGTCAATTTTGGCTACTTTTCCTGAGATAATTCATTCACTTATTCCTAAATTGTTTCAGACCACAATGCTATTTTATTACAAGATGGGGAATTGATTGGGGCAAAAAGCTTTTAGACTTTTTAATTATTTGATGGAGGAAGATGGTTTTAAGGAAATGGTCAGTCATACTATAGCATACTGTAAGAAGCTTGGGAGAAAAGCTGGAATCCTAAGTATTTTGAAGAACTCTAAGGTAACTATCAAAAAATGGACAGGGAAGAAAAACCAGTTTCCGGGAGCTGTAATCTCAGATTTAGAAAGAAAATTCAAAAGCTAGAGGAAGATGTCCAGCAGTTGCATGACAGTTCGGTTCAGGGGATTGTTGATGAGCTAAGTGTTTGTAGATTAGAATTATGGAGACTTCATAGAATTAAGGAGCAGATTTGGTATCAAAATTCTAGAAAAAAGTGGATTAATGATGGGGACCGAAGCACAAGATTCTTTCATATTTGTGCTTCAGTTAGAAGAAAACGAAATGCGTTAAATGCTTTAATAGTTGATGGGAATATTACTCATGATTCAGCTATTATCAAGGCCACTGTTAAAGATAATTTTTTTAAAATTTTCAATGATCAGTTAGTTTAGATGTTGAAGATATTGGGTTGATTTTTCCTAGAATTTCTTCGAACAAAGTATTATTTTAGAGAAGAATTTTCCGAGGAGGAGGTTTAGGAGACTTTAAAGTCTTGCGATAGTAATAAAGCTCCGGGGCCTGACGGATTGAACTTGGGATTTTTTAAAAGGTTTTGGTATGTTCTTAAGGGAAGCATTCTGCAGTTTTTTCACAAATTCTATGTGGGGAAAGATTGAGAACACGGTACTAACCATACTTTTATCACCCTTATTCTAAGGGTTCTAACATTGGGAGCCTTGATGATTATAGACCTATAAGCCTAATAGAAGGAGTTTATAAGATTTTATCCAAGTGTCTTTCCAGAAGGCTTAGAAGTTGTATAGGAGATATCATCAGCCCGACTAAATTTGCTTTTATACCCGGTCGACAAATTTTGGATTGCTCTCTCATTGCTAACGAGGGTATTGATTATTGGAGGAAGAAAAGGCTAAAGGGTTGTGTTTTTAAAATTGATTTTAAAAAGGCTTTGATACGGTTGACTGACCTATTTTGTTCAAGGTGATGGAAAAGATGGGTTTCGGTTCTACTTGGATAAGTTGGATCAGGAGATGTGTTTCTACAGCTTCGATTTCAGTGTTAGTCAATGGGGTTCTATCCGAGGAGTTTCCAATGGCCAAGGGTTTTAGACATGGATGTTCACTCTCACCTTTATTATTTAATTTAGTTGGAGAATTATTGAATTTATTAATCCGAAGGGTTGTTTCTGAGGGATTATTTTCTGGTATGATAGTTGGCAAGGAGGAAGGGTCCTCTAATCTTACACACTTGCAGTTTGCGGATGACCTAATTATTTTTTATGGAGCTTCGAAGACGTAAATTATGAATGTGAAGAGGGTGCTTAAAGTATTTGAGGTTATGTCAGGGCTGCAACTAAACATTAAGAAAAGCAGATTGTTCGGGATTAATATTTCCCAAGAGGAGGTTCAGATATTGGCAGATTCTATTGGTTGTACAGTTCGAAGCTTCCCCTCTAACTATCTAGGCCTCCCACTAGGTGCTACTAAGAATTCATCAGTTATTCGGGAACCAGTGGTGTAGAATTTTCACACTAAATTAGCAGGTTGGAAGGTTGCTACTCTTTCTTTAGCAGGGAGATTGGTATTGATCAGATCGGTTCTATACTCACTGCCTACGTATTTTTTGTCTATGTTCAAGATTCCAGCTTCAATCCTTAAGTCTCTCAATTCAATTATGTCTAATTTTTTATGGGGAATGGGCAATGGTATAAAGAAGATACACTGGATTAAATGGGATGATGTCCGCAGATCAAAGAATGAGGGAGGCTTGGGAGTCCGGAATCTGATTTGTATTAACAGAGCATTGCTAGGGAAATGGTCTTAGAGGTTTGCAAATGAGAGAAGTGTTGTTTGGAGGAAATTTATATGTAGCAAATACAACATTGATTCATCAAGGTTACTGTTTGATAGCAAGATTTCACCTCAAACTTCATGGCTATGGAGAACAGTGGTTAACAACCATTTCAAGCAAGACTCCTTTGATTCTAAGTTTCGTAGTTTGTGCAGTTTCCATGTTGGAAATGGTAAGCATGTTCGATTTTGGATAAACAATTGGGCTGTAGAATATCCGTTCCAGATTCTCTTTCCTAGATTGTTTTCGATTTCTACTAATAAATATGGTAAACTTTATGAGTTTGGGGAATTTCTTTCATCAGGCTGGATTTGGGATGTTCAAGTAAGAAGAAATTTAAATGATTGGGAGCTTGAACATGGTGTAATTTGGTGAGCATCCTTTCTTCTTTTTCTCTGTCTAAAGATTCCAGTGATGGTTTGATTTGGAAAGGCAGTGGGGATGGTGATTTTACAGTCAGTTCTTGTGTCAAGAGGTGTGCATCAGGTTCAGAAGAAGTTCGTTTCTGGAATAATATTGTTTGGAGAGGATTGGTTCCCCCTAGAGTTGAAACATTAGTGTGGCAAATTGTGCTTCATAAAATAGCTGTTAAAACCGAATTGGTTAAAAGAGATGTTCAAGGTATTGAGGATGATTTATGTCCTCTTTGTAAAATGGTTGAGGAAACTTCCACGCATTTATTTTGTACTTGTTCGGTTGCGTGGTCTTTGTGGAACAAATTTCTAAAATTCTGGAGGTTTAGTTCTGTTTTTCCTACAGAAGCAAAACTCTTTCTCCTAGCTTGGGATGAGTTGAAATCTAATTCTGCTATATGGACTTTCATTCCTGGGGCTGTTATTTGGACCATTTGGAAAATCAGAAATTTTATCGTCTTTGAAGGGGAGAAGCTTGATCAGACAGAATTATTCCCAAGGACTCTTTGATTTTTGATCCTTTAATAGGGGATTCTTACTCGCCCTACTATTTCTTGAAGTCTTCTATAATCCTCTGGTTACCTCCCCCTATGGGTTTCATCAAATTGAATGAGGATGCAGCCACTAGCAGCGATTGGAAGAAATCAGGTCTTAGAGGTCTTTTGAGGGATCATTCAGGTACAATCCTAGGTTCTTTTCAGGAGCTTGTTGGTTCGGGACCTCCAACATTGAGGGAACTTAAAGCTATTTAAAGGGGTAATTCTTTTTTTGCCTCTTTTCAAGGGAGGGTTAAAGATAGGCTGATTGTTGAGAGTGATAACAGGGTTGCAGTAGACTGGATCAACAATGTTGATTCATGTCCAGTTGTATATGGTTTCATTGTTAGAGATATAGTTAAAAATCTTAGAATTTTGGGGGTTGTTAGATGGGTTGCAAGGGCAACTAATATGGACGTTGATGCTTTAGCAAAGGCTAGTATAGCTGATTTTTATGTTGTTGGCATTTTTAGTTTGGTTTTTTGGTTCCTGTTCGGATGGGGTTTGTTAATTTTTGTAACTTGTAAGGGTTATTTGGAATAGATTTTCCTAGGATGTAATTATTATTTTCCTTAATGAAATTATAAGGCACTCTTTTCCTCCTTCTGCTGATTAAGGAGCTTCTATACAAGCTTCATTAATCAAGAATGAGGTTTTTAATGAGACCTTCAAATCTTATAAAAAAAAATTACCCAACAAGTATTTTGCAGGTTAACGCAGTATTGGACACTTCTAAACTAAGGTAGACTCACTATCTCTACAAGCAAAAAGCAAGAATTGTACAGCAATTATGTAACAGACTAACAGACTAGATTCTGAAGTGGAACAACATCTTTTCAAGTATACCAAGCTTAACTTCACGGATGGATGAACAAATAATTAAGACAATTTTCATAATTGTAAATATTATGTCATGATCGAAGTTAGGAGAGAAACAGAAATATGGACAAATCAAGGGTTAGGGATTTATGGACAGAAATTGGCAAAAATGGGAATTGGGAAAGTGGAGTTAATATTACCAAAGGAAAACGACGACATTGGGCATTTGGTGAAGATAGGAATCTAGTTGAGAAGAAAGCAAATGACCCAAAAGTGGAGATCCATTCAGAGAAGCCCATAAGTAGAATTATACCAAACAATAGTTGATGATTAGGCCGCTGCACTAGAAGACAATTTAGGACAGCTTTGTAAAAATAATAGGCTTTATCCCATTAGCAAATTATATAGGCTAAGAATTGTAATGCACAAATCATGGAAAGTTTATGAATGAAATCTTATCTCTTCTTCTTCAATATTTCCTCTGCTTCGTTAATCTTTTCTATTCTACTTCTTTTCTTCGATCTCAGCTTCTCTATTTCTCAAAGGTCATACCAAATTGGTATCAAGAGCCATTATTCTTGGTTTTCTAAAGCTTGGGTATGTCAAAGAATAACCAAACGATGGGTGATTACACTGATTTTCAGCAATACAAAAACAGATTGAGTACTTGACAAAGTCAAACAAACAACCGATGAGTCCACCCCTCCTAAATAGTGGCAGAAGTAGGAAAGTCGGTTGAGTATGTTGGAATCCAAAATGGCGTTAGAGCAGTTAGATGTGGAGCTCATTTTACATATTCTGACTGGTAAAAAGTGTGAGTAAAAACATGATGATTCGTAGGTGTTCGATAAATTGCCAACACCAAAGGTAAAGAATATTGGAGACCAAACAGATCAAAGTTAGGAGGGACTTGATTTTCAAAGTGATGAAACAGTGAGTGTAGGTTCTTTTAATTCCATTAAGACTAAAGAACCATGTTGAAGATGACACAATGGGCGAACTGGGAGCCTGAGAACGTCATGTGGAAATGTAACACTGGCCTCAGGAAAAAATTATGGTGTTTGATCCTTGGGGACAAGGATCGTCTAAAGGGGAGGAATTGTTATGATCGAAGTTAGTAGAGAAACAGAAATGGGGACAAATCAAGGGTTAGGGATTTATGGACACAAATTGAAAAAAATGGAAATTGGGAAAGTGGAGTTAATATTACGAAAGGAAAAACGATGACGTTGGGCATTTGGGGAAGATAGGAATCTAGTTGAGAAGAAAGCAAATGAACCAAAAGTGGAAATCCATTCAAAGAAGCTCATAATTAGAATTATACCATGCAATAGTTGATGATTAGGCCGTTGCACTAGAAGACAATTTAGGACAGCTGTGTAAAAATAATAGGTTTTGTCCCATTAACAGATTATATAAGCTAAGAATTGCAATGCACAAATCATGGAAAACTTATGAATGAAATCTCATCTCTTCTTCTTCAATATTTCCTCTGCTTTGTTAATCTTTTTTATTCTACTTTTCTTCGATCTCAACTTCTCTATTTCTCAAGGGTCATAACATACTATTATCGAGAAAAAACATTCCCCCTTCTTTATGATAATAACCTTAAGGCTTTACAGGAGTTTTTGTTACGACTTATGACAGTATTATCAGTTGTTAACAGAAAATCATACTTCAACATGAACTTGTACAATACTTAACAGTAAAAGCAATGTCTGTGACGTACCAGCAGGCATCTCCATTTTGAACCAGACCATCTAATAGGATCCATATCGCTAGTTCCAGTTACAACTCCTGTGTATCTGCAAAAAAAAGTAAAGCACAATTAAAGCTTGATAGCGTGGTAGAGTAGGTCTTTCATCCCTTATTTAGATAAAAAATCAGATGATTTAATAACTGAAGAGTAGCTGGTTCAGTATGGTAAGACCTTCCTTCTGCCACATCTTCAGTTTCAAACCACAACTTGAATCTCATTCCAACAGGAAAAGAACGATCAAGACTCTTCCAGAACCTATGCTCGGGTGTTATGAACTCTGATAAACTGGCCCTGCTAAATATCAACAAAAAGTTTAGATCCCACGAGAAATTGACTGTAGAGAATGGCCGAGAAAGCAAGAGAGCAAGTAGAACATGCAAATCTCAACAAACAAAAAGCTTAAAAGAACTGTAAACACAAATGGATCACAAGAACTTAACCAAGAATAATTAGGACCACCATAAATTAAACCTTTTTCACCCTTCTCTAGATTCATGATGATAGTGAGGACCAAGGGACAAGCTTATGATGATCTTAAAATAATATCAATTTATATATAAGACACTATATTTAAACTAAAGAATTGTTCAAACTTCTTTTATATTAGACATTGTAAACTATTTTGGGATATAGAAAGGATGTCCGAATAAGGTACAGTGTCATCCAGGCTTTAATTAAACAAGAAATGAAGTGAAAAATGCCAACCCAATATCAACCAAATCAGACCAAGTTCTTCTATGAGCAAATCAAAGTACATATAGCTGCATAAAGTCGCAAATATAAGCACCAAAATTACCAAAACATGTGTATATGTTGTTCATCCAGTTTAACTTATTTACCCTCCCTAAGGCCAGAATTGCACAATCTAGTTCACTCATAATGTTTAAAATAGCATCCTCATAAATATACCTTGGATTGTAGTAAATCTTGAAAACACTTTTCATAGATATAGCATGGAGCACATCTGCAAAAGTGCTGCGGTTCAGCTGCTGGGTGCACAAAGAAGGAAATGAAGTGTCATTTTTAATCTGAGCAGCTCTTCGGATTCCCAGCCTCAGCTCTTCGTTCTCACCCCTACCATGGACAATAAATAAGAATCTAACAGGCTATTATTTAAAACTTCACAAGTAAGGAAATTTCTAACCTAAGAAAAAGCACAGCATCTCCAGAGACAAGCTTCTTCTTATTTACAAAAGCACTCCATCCAGTAGTGAGCAAATGCCTCCGTGGTTGCCCTACTCAAACCAAAAATATCTTTAGAAGCAAATTGAGAAATGAACAACTAATCATGGATCTGATTCCCTTTGTTCCATAAGAAGAAATCCATCATTAGTGAAATGATAAATTAAAATGCTTTCAATATTTACAGCATACCCCTATATATGTGTCGAAATCTCCATTCCAAGCCTTGCAGGTCTTTTGCAACAAGCTCTTGTGAGGGCCGCTGCTGATCATAATCCTATAACACCAACTATTAAAAGTCAAAACGATATGTATACAAAAGAGTGTTTGAACAAAACATAACAAATTGTAGTAAACATACATAGAAATAAACAATGAAAACTTAATAACAAAATACTGAGAGAAGGGCATGAAAATTACCAATGGGGGGAAGCAGTCCTCAGCAGCTCGACGAGGAACAGAGAAGCCTCCATGAGTATTTGTATCAGAAGCCGTAAGAGTCTTGCAGAACATGTGGGGTGTGGTCGACTTGATATCTACTTCGGCATCCTCTTCACCATCTACATTCGTGCAGACTGTGCTCCCTTCTTTAAACTTCTGCTCATTTTGCTACAGACGACATAATTTAAGCTTAATAAGACTCAAATTTGGAGGAAACTAGGAAAAAGACACAGTGAACAAGTACATTAGCCTAGATAATGACAAACCAAAGTTAAGAATTAAGTTCAACTTATCATTGAACAATGATTCTAGTTCAGAATGATGTCATTGTCTCATCTAGTTTCGTTTTAAGAAAATGAAAATCTAACTAGAGCAACTTGGTTCATACAGAAAATAACCGTCTAATGGTTACTAGCTTTCTAAGCAACCGTTAATCAAACAAAACGAGAAACTAGAATAAACCCCACCTCATTTTCAGGAACCAGGGAAACTTGAGCGTAAACGTCATCTGTAGTGCCCTCAGCCTGCCAACAAAATTAAACACTTCATACAGAATTCACATTTTAAACACACACACACACACACACACTGCAACACTCTTTGTCCTCTGGATCTTGTTGGGAAAAGAAATGTAGGTAAGTTTTTGGTTACTTTCAGTAACTTACAACACCTAAATTCCTATGAAAAATACTTGACACAACCTATCACACATTTCATCATAGAATTCAAATCCAGAAATCCACAACCACAATTCGACGTTCTCAAGGAGGGGGGAAGCCCAACATCAAAACTTTCCCTTAATAAGAACGTTGATGAGAGAAAGGCAATATAGTATAGATTAGCTTACATGGAGCTTGACATCAATAACCCGACAAAACACGTGGGGAGGGAGATCATATGCTGCAGCTGAAACTACGCCGGGGAAATCGGAAACTTGTTCCAAGTGTCCCTGAGGGAAGTACACCACTACACTTCCTCTCTTTGGCAAAGATACAAGTGGACCGGCACACGCGTGCCAAAGCTCTAAACAAACGGAAGAACTTGAAGCAGTACCAGAAGCACTCAGAACTGAAGCTGAAGACGAAGATAAAGAACCAGATGAAGGCGTTTCATCGTCTTCTGTAGTGTTCAAATCGATGAAAACCCCCATTGAGTACCCAGAAAAAATGGAAGAAAAAAAAGCTTAGAAAGAAATGGTAGTTTTGAGCAAGTAAAGTTTGGGCTTTTATAGCATAAGATGTGAGTGGTGAGGAAGAGGATATTTCATGACTGCATCACTTTAGAGACTGGGTTTTCAAGGTAAAGACACAAAAGAGCTAAGCTCAACATTGGCATTGCAAAAAAAAAAAAAAGGAGGTTTGGAGGCCATCAAGACACACTGGAAATGAACCACAAACAAACTTTTTTTCCCTTGCATATCAAATCAAGCTTTATAAGCTTTAAATTAATTGGAATTGCAAATAAAAGAAAATATAAAATCTAATAGTAATTCATAATTTAGATGTAGAGTGCGTAAATTTTGGTTTTGGACTATGAAGAGAAAGAAGGTGCTTTTCACCATTTCTTTTTTCGCTTAATACAAAAATAATTACTTAAAAAATGTCTCAAAAAATATTTTAGCGTTTAAAGAATTTTTTTATTAAAAATAGATATTTAAATTTTTTATATTAAATTTTTATGTGTTTACTGTAAAAAAAATTATTAAATGATATGTGTAATTTAACGATTTTTTAAAATAAACACTTAAAAATACGGTGAAAAGAATTTAAACATTTACCTTTAACAAAAAAAAATATTAAATACAAAAAATTTATTTTAAATATAATTTAGACACTTATTTTTATATTAATTTTTTTTTCCTGGGCTGTAATGCTGTGCTGCAACTGATGCCGCTGCAATGCTGCGACTGCTGGGTATAATGTGTGGCAGAAATGAGAAATTAAGTGATGACAACCAAGTCACCTTTTAATTGGGTTTCCACTCTAGTTAATTTCTACTTCTATTTGATATTATTATGAAATTAAAGTTGGACTACGTAGATAGTCATAAAAAAGCTTAATATTTTTTTTCAAATTTATTTTTTTAAAATTTACATTTTATTTTAAATGTTAACGATTTTTTATTTTATTTAAAAATAAGTAAATAAACACTCAAACTTAAAAAGCTAATTAGATTCTTAAAATTTTTAAAATAATTAATTAAATCTATCTAACATTTATTATAAATGATTATGTTAATATTGTAAATTGTCGCAGTAATATTGTAATAATCAACGATAATTTTTATTTATTAAAATATAATTTAATTTTTTAATTAGTATTATATCAAAAATAAAATAAAAACTCATATTAATTTTTTTAAAATTATAATTTTTTTTTAAAACTAAAGCCTATAATAAACATTAGACCTTACAAATGTATCCAGATGTAAATTGATTACTAATTTCTTACACGAGTGAAAGCCTAGGGGTTGTGTACGGTTTCCTGTATTTCCGAATGGATGACAATTCTGTCCCCTTCTACTTGCCCAAATATCATTCATGCCCCTCTTTCTTTTTATGTATCTCTTTTACACTAATTAACCAACAAATCCTCAATATTTACACCATAATTTTTCCTCGCATTTTCTTTATTGAGAAAAAGGAAGGGATCGGTAGAAAAGGAAAAGAAAAAGAAAAAGGGAGGGAAAATGAATTACTTTAAAGGTTTGTTTGTTTCACTAAAAATATTTTTTAAATATTTTTTGTAAAATAAAATATATTTTTTAAAAATGTTTTATAAAATATATTTTACGGTGTTTGAGAGATGTTGTGTAAATTATTTTTCACTAATTGATGATTTTTTTTAAATTATTTATTATAAATATTAAATACAATAAATAATATTATTTATCACAAAACTTAATATTATTATTTTTAAAACATTAGAATAATTTATTTATTATTATAAAAATATTATTTCTATTAATAAAAATATTAATATGAGTACATTTTATTGAAATAAAAATATTATAAACTATATTAATTATTTATTAAATTAATAATATTATATTATATTTTAAAAAGTATTAATTGATATATTTTAAACATCTTTATTAAAATAGTATTATATTAATATTAAATACATAAATAATATTATTCATTATTAATAATTTAATAATATTATTTCTATGAAATTATTAAATAATATAAATTTTATTAATAACTTATTATATATTATTAAAATAAAAATACAATATCTTATATTATTATAATATAATTGAGTATTTTTATTATAATATTAACAAATATTATATTATATTATTAAAATATTAAAAAATATATTTTAAATATTTTAATAATTAATATTTTGATTAAAATGATATTAAAACATTTTATTAATGTTAAATTCATAAAATAAAATTATTTTGAGTATTTATTATTTGAAGTGAAATTTCAAAAAATAACTTACAAAAAATAAGACCGTAAGTCATTTTTCAGAAAACACAAAAAAAAATCTATTAATCAAAAAATTATTTTACATTTTTAATCAATCAATTTGGTAAAAATAAAAAAAAATTAAAAAATATTTTATGTAAAACAAACATACCTTCAATTTGTCAATCCCCGGAGCAGAACAGAGATAGCAAAACTTTCCATAACAAGGGCATATTCTGTCCACATAGCCCCTACATTCACTGCTCACTTCGTGTCCTATCGTACATGGTTTGATCAGCCTATATTCCCAGGTTGTTGCATTTTATTTTAAATATTGAATATTTACTAATATAATTTATAAAAATTAAGATTTAAATTTTATTAGTATTTTACATCTTTCACTGACGATAACATTATAGGAGGTTAATAGTTATTTCTTTTTCTTTTTCCCCTTTTCCTTCTGCCATTTAATCATTTATATTTTTAATTAATTAGTTTTACATTTTTTATATACAAATATTGGAAGGTTGTGTAGACTTTGATAATATATATTTTTATGTTTTCGTAACACGTTTTATTTTTTTCTAAAGTTAGATTTAATATTATCTTATCAAATTCAAAAAATATTTATTTGTGTTATTGTGTTGATTAATTCGTATTTTATACTATCGTATGAAATATTGATAAATGTTTACAATTATGGAATATAAGTTGTGGTAATGTCAATTTATCAATGATTCATCAATGTTATATGTATTTTAATATTTGTGTTGACGGTGTTTATCATTCGCCGTCAACATTGATGATTAATTTATCTTTATTTTTATAAACTCTTCCTCTAATTTTAAGATATTTTCTTGCTATTTAATAAAACCAGTGATTATTTTTAATTCAAAAAAATATTTCATAAATTATATATAACTTTTAGTTTTTTTATGAACCCTGTGGGGGTGCGTGACCTTAGATTGAAATAATCCCTTCTCGTCTAAACTTCTTTATAGAACGAATATAGATATAATTATTATAGATTGATGCCATGCAGACCAACCGTGATAGCATTGGTGCAATATCTAATTAGGTTTCTCAATCAAACATATCCTTTCAACTAAAATTTGAGGATTAGTGTTCGAATTAAAGCGATATTTATATTTTATTTTTATGTTATAAATTGGGAAGATTACACAAATAAAGTGTAAACAGGAAGTTAATCACTGTTCTATTATACTGTTTATGCAAATAAAAAGGGGAAAACTACACCGATTGACGCTAATGTTTGAGTAAGTTTTTGTTTTCCCCACTAGATTTTCAAAAGTAACAAATTAGTCACTAATGTTATCGATTTGTAACAAAATGGAGACTCGACCGTTATCTATGTTAAATTGATGATGTGGCACTGTTATAAAATGTTAACATCTAGTTTTATCCTTAAATTATTGCTAAAACATCAAATAGGTACTTAAACAATGATTTTATATTTAATTTATCCATTTTTTAAACATCCCACCATCTCAAAATTATATTCAAACACTTTTCTTATTAAACTAAAAGCACACTTAAATAACTCTCGTTTTTCTTTAAATATTCTAACAACTTTCTTCACAAAACGAAAATTATCCCAAAAATATCATTTTTCACATTAAAATTAATTGATTATATGGCTTTAAATGCTCATGTGTTTCATCTATAATGGAAAAAAATCCATTTATCTATGCAATGTGGTTTTCGTTTTGTAAGAAATGTGGTTTGAATATAGTTGTGGTGGTGGGGTGTTTTAAAAAACTATAATTTAGAAAGTTTTCTGAATAAGTTAGATATAAAATCATTGTTTGAGGACTTATTTGATATTTTAGCAATACTTTAGGAGTAAAATTAAATATCAAACTTTTTACGAACGTTTTCACGTCATCAATTTAACATAGCTAACGGTTGAATGACCATTTTGTTACAAATCGATAATGTTAGTGACCAAATTGTTACTTTTGAAAATTAAATGGGAAAAACAAAAACTTACTCAAATATTAATGACCATTGGTGTAGTTTACCCTAAAAAATCATATAATGTTAAATATTGATAAAGGGGCTGCAATTGTACGAGTAACGAGTTTGGAGGGTTATAAAAGAGACATCGGAAGAGTAAGAACGAAGGGGTATGTTTTTTACCTGAGCCATCAATGGTGTATTATCTTATTTGATTTGTTTTAAAGGAACATAAAATTATAGTGTTTGATTGAAAAAAATATAAGATAATAAAAATGTATCTTTTACTAAATTATATTTTAGATATATTTTTCTTTAACAAATTGAATTCTCAATATTAAAGTCAAAATATTTACATGAAAGCTCATAGAGAGTATATTTTTTCTATTATTTTCAATTTTAATATTTTTAATAAAATTTATACACATATACATATACATATACATATACATATACATATACATATACATATACATATACATATACATATACATATACATATACATATACATATACATATACATATACATATACATATACATATACATATACATATACATATACATATACATATACATATACATATACATATACATATACATACATATACATATACATATACATATACATACATATACATATACATATACATATACATATACATATACATATACATATACATATACATATACATATACATATACATATACATATACATATACATATACATATACATATACATATACATATACATATACATATACATATACATATACATATACATATACATATACATATACATA